CTTTAACTGCCATGGCTCCATCCTACAGAATCCTGGGATTTGTCATTTTATTAGCACCAACGTGCTTTGGCAGAGAAAGTGGGCCTTGTAAAACTAACAATCCCTGGATCCCATTGGATGGAGCCACAGCACTAAAAGTGGTGTCAAACTGCATCATTTCTACAGTGTAGATGCAGCTCCTGAGAAAGTCATTTAAAGGAACAAAACTTCAGGGGAGAGATATGATCCAAGAAAGGTGGAAAGTTGGCTTGTTGTGGGAAAGGTGCCAAGCATTGTCCTGTTGATGTCTGGACTCTTGCTGGGGACCCTGAAATTGTTTCTGAGTTTATTATTATTATTATTATTATTATTATTATTATTATTATATTGGAGGGGGTTTCCAGGCAAGGGGGCAGGCCTTGGAGAAACTTGTCTCTTGGATGGACATTTTGCCATCAGCCATAAGCTTAGGACCAGATGAGGACATTGGTCTTAAACTGGAATCTTGTTGGTTCATATCAATTAGAGCAGAACCATTGAATCCATTGTTGGGTGGTGAGGTAACAGATCGGGAAAATCCAGTTGTTCCAAAGGATCCAGTTGTTCCAAAGGGTTCTCCTCTAGGCAGGACTAACAATAGGATTTAGGCCATAGTTTTCCTTAGAATTTTGTTGTGTTCTTGAAGTACAACTGCTGTCTGAATATGTGTGTGTGTGTGCTGAAGTTTTCTCTGTGTGTATTTGTGTTCAATTCTGAGTGGTCATTTGGGGAGGGGGACTTAGCCCTATCCTATATTCCTTTGGATCAAGTTCAACTTTGATCAAGATCTCCTCTTGTTCAAGAAGATCCTACTTGGTGGGAGACTCAACTTCTCCTCCCCTTTTTTTCGGTGGCCCACAGAAAATAGCAATTTCCAAGGTTGTCGCTGTGACTCTGAGTTGCATCTACATTGTAGAAATAATGCAGCTTGACACCACTTTGGCCCTGTCCACACTACGGAAATAAACCAGTTTGGAACCAGTTTATTTCCATGACATTCACACTCACCCCTACTGCAATTGATGCAGTTG